CAGAGGTTGTGAACACCAGAGGATTGAAGCTGCCTTGGCCCACGTTCTGGATTATCTGTTTTTGCCATTCTCATTCCTCCTGTGTGCAGCTTCGAGAAGAAGGTCACGAATGTTCTGATTTCCAGAATCCTCAAGAACTGACATCCAAATTTGCAGTCTGGTGGAGAAAAAGGTTGGTTCAACAGTGACATCGCAATGTATTGCCTTCAGCATATTTACTGTGAGGTTCCTTAATTTATTGTGCTTCATGCACACAAAACCTCCCTTCTTGCACACCATGGAGTGCTTGATGTCGTAGGATACGCCGCTCACGCCCTGTGGAGGGGGTATGCCTTCCACTGGCCGGCTTAAGAGCAATGGCATGTGTGAATAATTCTTGTTTGTTAAGGTTGAAGTCCCTTGCTCCTGTCAGTAATGTTATCAGCCAGTTTGCGGCACCCACCTCCTGTGCTATACTGTACAGTTACTTTCCTCTCTGACAGTTGTTGAAGTTTTTCTCTTTGGGTGTGATGCCGTTCTGTTGTAATGGACTACTATTACTACTACAGTCGCTTATGAATATCTATTGATATAATTTTCTTAGTGATTATTTTTCTCTAATATCCCAAGATATACAGGGTGTCTCAGGAAATTTGCAATACAAATATTCACGCGATCTCCACGGAAATCAGTAAGGCAGAAAGTAAAGTTTTCTGAGACACCCTGTATTTTACAAAACAACATAAGCAATTAAGAATAAGTACCAATGTTTATCAGCGAGTGTTGTTAATAAAAACGTTTATATAGATATTCCCTTCAGTGTTTATTATTCTGATTTTTTAATCTCATTATCATTATTATTATTAATATCATCACCATCATCATCATTACTGAACATATACCTTGTAAAACGAAGGTACCTCCTCTTTATAACTCTTTCGATTTTATAACTACGTATTACGTAAAAGTGAATATATAAAACACCTTCCTCAAAGTAACAATAGCAATTAGTGTTCGCTTAGAATCTAGGTGTTATCAAGCTCGGCTAATATTTTATTGTTGTCATGTATATCAGTATTAAAAAAATATGTCCAGTGTATACACATTAGCTAGATTAAAGTATGTGACTTTTATTTTGATGTCAATTACACACATCTAATTGAACGAAGTAAACTTTTTTAATTATCCGACTGGAATTTCATGAAAAATTTCTGGTGTGGTAGGGGACTGGAGGGAGGGGGGGGGGGTTGATTGAGGCCTCCCCCTATTCCTCCCTCTCTCCCTCTCCTTTCCCCCTTTGTCTATCCCTCTTTTTTGTCTCTCCCCCTTTCCCCGTCACTTCTGTTCATACAGGTGCATCAGTACTTTCTGAAATACAATTTATTTTATTAAAAGTCCAAATTCACATGAAACAGAAATTAATACATGTATCTACAGTATATACTACATAAAATGAAACATGAAAGTCTACCTCTACACAGTATTATAGAAGCTTCATTACCTCATCATATTATTTAAAATTTACCTTTCAATTTTTTGGGGGTTAAAACTATAAAATATGGATTCCTTACCTGAATCTTAAGTGTTTCAAATTATTTCCCTCTGGAGGTAACGGTGAAGTTTGTTATCGTCAAGATTGTTGAAAAAACGCAATAAACAGAGGAAGAATGTTGAAACAGCGCAATAATGTAATAAACAGGAGAAGAATATTGAAACAGCGTAATTAACAGAAGAAGAATGTTGAAATAGCGCAATAAGCAGTAACAGAATGATAGAACCACACACTAACTATAGAACGACGAAACAGAACGTGATAAGCAATGTGTACTACAACGCGTTAAGCCAACTACACAACACCGGCCACACAAGTTGGGAAAGGTGTGAAGAGGGAGACAAGTTTGTAATGATGACGAAAAACTCTCCAAGGTGTGGTGCTGTGGCGTGAGAGTCGTGTAGGAGGGAGGGAGGGAGGGAGGGAGGAGGGAGGAGGAGGGAGGGAGGGAGGGAGGGAGGAGGGAGGGAGGGAGGGAGGAGGAGGGAGGGAGGAGGAGGGGTAGGGAGGGAGGGAGGGAGGGAGAGCTATGACCCGGAAGATCATGGTTACCTGTGCTAATTGACGGAAGGGCAGCTGGGTCCGAGGGCCAGTAAGTAGCAGTGAGGGGGGAGGAGGAGGAGGAGGAGGAGGAGGAGGATCAAGAGGATGAGGATGAAAGGGAGGGAGGAGGAGGAGGAGGAGGAGGAGGAGGAGGATCAAGAGGATGAGGATGAAAGGGAGGAGGAGGAGGAGGAGGAGGAGGAGGAGGAGGAGGAGGATCAAGAGGATGAGGAGGAAGATCAAGAGGATGATGATGAAGAGGAGGAGGACGAAAAGGAGGAGTGGGTATTACGATGATGAAGAGGAGGAAGAAAATAACGAGAAGAACAATGATGATAAGGAGGAGGAGGAGGAGGGAGGAGGAGGAGGAGGAGATAGGAACAACTATGACTGCAGAGAAAGGCAATTGAAACAAATAGGAGGGAGGAGGAGGAGGAGAAGGAGAAGCAGGAGGAGAAGAAGGAGGAGGAGGAGGAGGAGGAGTAGGAGAAGGAGGAGGGAGGAGGAGGAGGAGGAGAAGAAGGGGAAGGGGGAGAAGGAGAATGAGGAGGAGAAGACGGGCAAGTACCAAAGAAAGTGAAAGAATGGGAGGAAGAAAGTGATTAATGAAATATAGAGAAAGAAACGAGGAAATAATGAAGAGAAGAGAAGTCAGCATTAACTAACAGATAAACTCGAGACAAAGATATAGATAAAGATAGAGATTCTTATTAGTCATTACAGAAGGCTAAGCAAAGGCGTCTATATCCTTCAAATACCTCCCTGGGCTGGTATAGGTTACAGGTTCTTGTCATACTATCATTGTTATGCATCAAGGAAATAAGAAGATCTAAATACTGGATTATTACAGAAAATACCGAAATGTTTCCTTAATACCGAAATACAGTAATCAAATACCTTGTCCTCCGTGAACCCCAAACACCTCTCCTTTCCTCCACTTGTCCTCCTAGTGTCTCCTAGTGACCTCTTTCCAACTTGTAAGACCATCTGACCAACTTGAGACACTTAATTTGAAATATTGACTTCCTGCCTCCAATTTTCCGGCTTTGTTTTTCAATTTCACGGTCATTTGATATTTTCACCGTTGATCTCTGATGTAGTCGCTGTTTAATATACAGTATATATATTTATGTGTATTGTTGGGATGTGTCGTGTTGTAATTTGTTGGTTATTGTAATTGTTATTATTATTATTATTATTATTATTATTTGAACTTAATATTACAATTACTGCTAATATGATCAATCACTATTAATTACTGTTATTGCTGTGATCATTTTAGTTTTTATTAGCCCTTATTTCTATTGCTGTAATTATTATTATTATTATTATTATTATTATTATTATTATTATTATTATTATTATTATTATTATTGTTATTATTGTTATTATTATTATTATTATTATTATTATTATTATTATTATTATTATTATTATTATAGTTATTTGAGTATTATTTCTTTTTCTTTGACGCCACATTTTGGAAACTTCCCGTGAGTCTGAAGGCAATTAGTCTCTCCTTACTATCAAATAAGTTCATTTTAATTATTTGTTAAGTTTTATGTTTATTTTTATGTTCTATTTAAGAAAACAAGGAAGTTTCTATCGTATCATTTTTGACGTGTTAGTTATATTTTACAGTTAATTGAGGAGTTAAAGGTTCAATAGACTTGTGTGGATAGAGTACATTAGCGAATAAGCCTTCGGTCCGCAAAAAAACAGTATGATCGACGCTGCATTCGACTGTGAAGTTAGGCACCCATTCACTACCGGGTAGACTGGTGCGAACTATCGTCATCCAGGAGAGGGAGTGAGTGTTGTATCCTCTCAGCTGTTGCTTCCCTTTAAAGTGCATTCATGTATCTCAAATTTATTGTATGATTATCACGATTTTATGATTCATGCGAGGCAGAGGATTTCAGAATAATAACTGATTGATATAAAACCATGTAAGTATTGTTGATGTGGACCGTACCCAGAATATCAGCTGTTGATATTTACATCTCCACAACAGCTGTCTTTCACTAGTAATACATCAACGCAGTTACCACAAACCTCAGCATTTCTAATACAATTGCTGAGAAACTAATCATCATAAGTACCACTGCAGCCTAACCTGGAACACTCAGGGAAACTTTTGTTTGGTAATGGGTGAGACCAGTAATACGCTGGCAACTTTCGCTATAGTCGCAGTGAAAGTAAACATTAGCGATACAGTGTAGTAGATGGCCATCACTGGGACGATTACTGTCAGCCCGAGCTTGACTGAAACACTTAACGTGAACTTCATCACTCCTGCAGCAGCCACCGAGGGCTTGACCATTACTGAAGAATGAGCAGCAACTCCATAATTACTAACACAACTGGTCAGTGCGTTACTCCACACTGTTTGTTTACACCCTCAGGTGGTACGTTTTCTATTATGCGTTTTCCATTGCGGCGGAAACTGTACTATTATACTATTACACTTCATCTCCTTGGCTACTCCAAGCTACTAATCCCGGAAATTATTGGCCTTAGACATTAAAAATGCAGCAGTACTACGTGTAACGGTGAATCTATATAAATATATTTCTCAACGTTCTCTGCCAGCTGCTAGCTTCCATTATGTAGTACAGTACAGACACAGGTACCGTCTAGATACCTGGTCAATATATAGACTTCATTTTCATTGTCTATCTTCCATGTTTTCCAGAAATAAAACTTGTAGAAAATTTATCAGAAATTTTAGGTTTAGTTGATATAATGTAGCTACAATTTCGGGTATTTATTATTTAAGGGACAGATTTCCTGTTGAAGCAGTTTGTTTGTGGGAACTGTGTCAAGGATTATGTATCAAATGGAACCTTTAGTGTCATATCATTATCATCATATAGTATCAATAAAATGCCTTTGACTGACCTGTAGATTGCTGAAAGAACTTAAGTCATTTTGTTGCGTCTATATCAGGAGCATCCAAAGTGAGGCCTGCGGGCCAAATGTGGCCCACCTGACCCCGGGGTGTGGCCCGCCTGACGCCGCGGTGTAGCCCGCCTGACGCCGGGGTGTAGCCCACCTGACGCCGGGGTGTAGCCCGCCTGACGCCGGTGTAGCCCGCCTGACGCCGAGTGTAGCCCGCCTGACGCCGGGGTGTAGCCCGCCTGACGCCGGGGTGTAGCCCGCCTGACGCCGAGGTGTAGCCCGCCTGACGCCGGGGTGTAGCCGCCTGACGCCGGGGTGTAGTCCCTGACGCCGAGGTGTGGCCGCCTGACGCCGGGGTGTAGCCCGCCTGACGCCGGGGTGTAGCCGCCTGACGCCGAGTGTAGCCCCCTGACCCCGGGGTGTGGCCGCCTGACGCCGGGGTGTAGCCGCCGAGTGTAGCCGCCTGACGCCGAGGTGTAGCCCGCCTGACGCCGGGGTGTAGCCCGCCTGACGCCGGGGTGTAGCCCGCCTGACGCCGGTGTAGCCGCCTGGCCCGGGGTGTAGCCCGCCTGACCCCGGGGTGTGGCCCGCCTGACGCCGCGGTGTAGCCCGCCTGACGCCGGGGTGTAGCCCACCTGAAATTTTTAGAAAAACATATTTTCATCTTCTTAGCAATACATTAACATATATGCCAGTGAGGCCTAACCCAAACCGTAACGCCATAACGCCTAACGGCCAAACTGTAATCACCTACCTAGCTTACAAGACTGTACCTTCTTACTGGTGTGACAAAACATCTGAACAGACTAAGATTGAAACTGCAGGAACAAACGATAAGCAGAGCATTGCTGATTTGCTCAAGGAAGCACAGGTATTCATATTAAAACTGGATACGTGGTTTGAGCTGGTGGCGACTATGGACTACACTCATTTTTCATTGCTGGACTGTCCTGAACTCGATGAAATCACAAATTATGAAGAATTACAGAGCATTTTGGTGGAAATGAAGTCACAATTTCAAAAGAGATTCACAGATTTTCATGAGTATGTACCTTGCCTTAAGTGTCTGAGGCTGCCTTTTGAGTGCAAACCTCAGGACGAGTCTGAATTATCAAGCATCTGCCCTTTCAGTGTGGCTCAGTTTCAAGATGAACTAATAGAGCTGAAAACGAACTAGAATTTTGAAGACGAGTATATAAGTCACGAAAGTATCCTGAAATTTCAAGTCATGTGGCCTAACTCTGAACAATGTTGGGGTCTACTTGACTGTGTGAAAGTACATTCTCTCTCATGAAACTCCTGAAATCGAAGCTGCGAGCCACCATCAGTAATGTAAACCTACAGTAGAGTCAAAATTGAGATGTGCCCTGACTGAATACTCCCCACAGTTCTCCAGAATAGTTCAGTCCGGTAAATACTAGTTTTTTCATTGTACAGTAAATTATGCCCTTTTTATATGAATGTCTTTTAAATAAGTGTTCTCAATGACTTGATGATAATTGGTCAGTATTAGAACTCTGCCTATAACTGTGTACGTGTACTAAATACATTGATACGAATAAAGCTGATTACCTGGTATAACTACTTGTTTATTACTGTTAAAAACACATATTATTTAATGGTTAATAGCCTATTCTTCACCAATGTTGTCTCTCACAAATTCAAGTGGTCCACAACCCATTTAGATTTCTGATCATGTAGCTCACTACTGAAAAGACTTGGCCGTCCCTGGATCATCGATACATGAAATTAGGTCCAAAATTATCGACAGAATTCCTGAAATAGACAATAATATCAAACACAAACTATGAGAAGTATCTTTCAAAATAATTTACTAGAGTTTGATGCAAAATATATCAGAGTACTATATCAATCTGTCCCTTCACGTCTAATATCGTCACCTGCTTGTCAATTGAAAAAAACATAACAATTGTACAAACATGTGGGCATCAGGTGCGTCTATTAAATATTTTTGTCATGGTAATTTTGCATGTATTTTGGTGCGTAGTGTTGCGGAAAATTGTTCGCTGTTGTGTCAGAGAGAGAGAGAGAGAGAGAGAGAGAGAGAGAGAGAAATACATGAGTGTTGTGTCGCCATGTTATTCCTGAGCTGCTACCGAGGGGAAATATTTTCACTGTAGATGACGATGATGACGTATGTTTTGTAGGTGACGATGATGACGTATGTTTGTAAGTGACGATGATGACGTGTGTTTGTAGGTGACGATGATGACGTGTGTTTGTAGGTGTAATTTTGACAGCAAGATAATAGCGCCATTGTCTAATCTAACCTAACCAAACCTCATTACAACAATCCAAGTCCAAACCCAACCCAACTTAACTCACTCAACCTAAACTAGATAACTTAATGCAACCCAATCAAAGCCAATCGAATATAGTATAAATAACCCACTCTAACCCAACCAAATTTAACCCATCCAACCAAGCCCAACCTAAACCAACCGAACTAATCCAACCCAACCCAGCCCGGGCCAGCCTAACCCATCGTGTTACAATATGGTAAATAAATTTCAACTCTAGTGTGAGTCTGTCCAGTGCAGAATTGTCTTGTGGGACTTTTTCCGAGGGAATTTTATGTGTGAATATATCTCCGGGGTTTGTGATGAAGTACAGTATGTGTACACATGGTGTGTGTGTGTGTGTGTGTGTGTGTGTGTTCTCGTGATATACACATATGATTCACATTTTACGTGTACATGAGTATTACCAGTGTGCACATAGTGTGTGTATATATATATATATATATATATATATATATATATATATATATATATATATATATATATATATATATATATATATATATATATATATATATATATATATATATATATATATACTTACAGTATATGAATGTTTGATTATTACCCGTTCCGTAAAGTTAGTAGTGTAATCATATTGAAATAAGTTCCGTGTGTCCATCTGCCTGTCTGTCGGAGTCACGTTTCTGGAGCATAACTAAAAACAGTCGATATGAGCGTCATAAGACTTATTATGCAATTTTTTTTAAGGAAACGTGTGTATTTTATTAGGTAGGGTATTACAGTTTTTATATTAGCTGTAACTATTAAAACAATTGAAAAAAGGCAAAATTTTTATTCCGGAACGTAACTCAAAATATGGTTCAGATATCCTTATAAACAAAATAACGCATGGGTGCTTTGTTGATTTTGTTATTTACACAGCAGATGACATATACAGGTAGATGACTGTGTCTTCTTGTTAATATAATGAAGATAATGTGTAGTGTGTGAGTGTCATGTTACGCCCTGTGTGAAATTGATAACATATACAGTATAATCACAAGAGATAAGTATAATAATGATAATAATAATAATAATAATAATAATAATAATAATTAGCCATATAGTAAAATAACTCAGCCATACGATAAAATAACTCAGCTACGTGATAAAATTACTCAGTTGCTGTAAGCTACAAACAAAATCAACTCAGCCATGTGGCAGAAAATACCTCAGCGACTCAACAAATACACATCAGTCATTCTCGAACACCATTTCGCTGATTACCTCTGAAAATTAATTAGTATATTAAACGGAAGTCATCCAGGTAAACTTTAGAACACTCCCGCCGATGACAAATAAATCTCGCCGCCGAAATTACAATCACCCGATAACAAAAACACGAAACAAGTAAAAAAACAGAAACAAATATATTGGAGCATCAGGAGCAGCTCTTCATCGGTTGACAAAGACACGGACGGGATTATTGTCCTTTGTTATAGTGCGTTTATTCACTTGTTGGGAAACATGTAATTAACCTATGACGAGGAAGATCAGTATTAGACTATAGAGAAAATAGATGTATTGATGAAAAAACTCACTCACTCACTCACACCTGTCTTCTAGTCCTGGGGAACTATGGTTGTAATCTTCACCATTAGTAAACACTTCCAACCAGAAAGGTAAAACTGGATATAATATTTAGGTGTTTGAATGAGCGTATATGCAAAAATATAAGGAGAGGTTTGCTGGGGACAGGTGAAGGGAGTAAAGTACTGGGCGTCAAATGGATTAAAAGAGAAGAGTTGACAGATTTGTAATGTGATGAAATTGTGAGTTATGTGATATAGTATTACAGGAGTAAGTCTCAGAATGTTTTATGAATGAAATTAAAAAGAAGGAAGGGAAAGGTGGGTATTAATTCACCATAGAACGAGAAGAGGGAGAACGAAGGAGGGAGGTTCAGGTAAAGTTTGAATAACAACATTGATAGTTTCACTGTGAGATAACTGCCTGACGCTGCTAAAAACAACCCCGCTTACGATAACAGAATATTCCACGAACTCATTTGGGGGGAATATAACAACAGGTGATATGAGATGCAAGTGTGTTAGTGTTCTATAAAGGATCACTGTATTTTGAAACGTTTGCAAATTATAGAGGCATTAATCTGTCATAAAAAAAAGGAACCATTTGAAAAACACTGGATTTATCTGAGGCATCAATCGTGGTTATTTCATACATAATATTTATTAAAGGTAGATAGTTATCCTTTAGTTATAGTTTAAATATCAAAGTTATTCGTTAACTATATAAGTATGTGATTAATTCATGAGCCATCAGCCATAACAACCTTAATCAGTCAACACCACAACCATGACTGTCTCTTACCTCTTCGTCAGGTTACTCTCAGCCATAATGTCTGCACCACTTTACCGTTAAATGATCCCCATAACCACAACTGTGTATAATTATTTAGACAATATTAAAAAGTCCACGGCAACGTCATTCTCAACAGCTTAATCAAACGACAACAACCAAAATCTACAGCGTACGGAGCAAGAGAGAGAGAGAGAGAGAGAGAGAGAGAGAGAGAGAGAGAGAGGAGACCAATCACAGAACCCACTTCAATCACGGCCAATCCTGCGTCTGAACCGAGTCATGGGAATAATCATAATAACAACTCCTAAAAGCTTGCTCTGAAGTGTGGGAGTGAGGATCCCAGGCGCGGGGCTGTGAGAGGCGGCAATCCATTTGTTGATATGGAACTTTAAAAGAGTCGACGCTTAATCCCAGCATCCCTCTCCTCTTCCTAAATCAGAATCCGGCGAGAGATCAGGATTTTGAGTCTTATCTTCCCCGTAGGATAAGGTCGGGAATCGCGCGCGCCAGAAGTGTTATTTGATGAGGGATGAAATTTTGAGACGAAAGTGGGTTCTCGTATCTATAAGACGCATCTCGAATTAGCATATTCTGGACAAATGCGAGTACAGGCTGGAGACAGTAGAGGCAGGACTTTGTTGTCTTCTTTGGCTGCCGAGATGAAACGGTGTTTGGGAGAGAGGTATTGGTTGCGTCCTGCTTTGGAGCTCCGAATGCTTATCAAAATATGGAGAAGGTCTCCCACATTTTTTCTGAATTTTGAGAAAATAAGAAAAGCCGTCCGCCTTTGATTCCGGGTAAAAATGGCTACGTTGGATGTACAATAAAAGGATGAAAGCTTGAGAGAACGATAAAACACAAAGAAGTTTTGTTTAGGACCTATTAAGAGAATTGCAGGCGGGCCTTGCAGTGGGAGAGAGAGGCCCGCGCGCTGCTCTACCCCTGAAGAAAGTGATCGGTCGTTGCTTAAGATATTGCACTTGTTTGTCTTACAGTAAGGGCTTTTGTGGAATGAAAC